GTTAAGCTCGAAAATGAGGATAATCTACTTACATGTGAACCTAGTATAAAAAGTGAAAAACTAAAGCTATATACAAGGCGCATCAATACAAGGTGGTGTTGATTGATCAGCTGATTGGATATTTTTGTCTCTACACTAGTACAGGAGAATGTCATCCAAGACGAAGCAGCGCAACTTTAGGATGTTAACAACAGAAAATGATGAAAATTATCTCCTATTCCCTTTCGTTTTGACATCCTCCTGTACCAAAAAGCAATAACAAAATACACGGGACTTTTAGTTATATGCAATCAACACCACCTTGTATGGATGCGCCTTGGCTATATAAAGAGGAAAATTACCAACAAAAAGTAAATAATCTTCAAAATATATTTTGTTGAGAACGCTATGATCCTCCACTTAAGGTATTGTTGAGAAATAACGTTGGAAGTTTGAGAAATACCTTAGCTCTCAACTTAACCTCAAGTTGAGCTCAAATCTAAATTTTTGTTGGGTAGAGAGTATTGAGCTGAACATAATACCAAAGCTAATATAAGCTCTGATCCAGTACTCCATAAACTTACAAGATTTCTCGGCACTCAGGACAGCGCCAGGTGCCTCCTGATGTCGCCTAGACGACGGTGCCCATATATGCTCCCCGTTAAGGAGCATAAAACAGTGCTCTGCAAGCGGTTTCTAGTTGGGAGCCAAAGACGTGGTCACCCAAATAGGCAACCGCTTGCAGAACAGCCCTCGCCCAGGCACCTCAAGAGGTATCTCTACGAACTGATGAACGAAGTCCAGAGGTTCATCAAACAACCTCTGGACCCGACAGCTTATCGACAGGCTTTGAACGGCATTAACAGAGAGGCAGTCTCGAGTTATGTAGACTCTCAACCTGTGAATGCCATTCTGGGCATACAACCACTAGACGTGAACGAGACAGAGCTTCATCTGCCTCGGGAGACTCGGACTACAATAGCTCAACTGCGCTCTGGTTACTGCAGCAGGTTGAACCCATACCTGCGCAGATTAAACGAAGATGTGCTAAACCAATGACCGGCATGCGGACAGACGCCCCATGACTAACAGCATCTCTTCGCATGCCCACTGAACCCCACCCTACAGACGCCCCTGTCCCTGTGGACAGACCACAACGAGGCTGCACGCTTCCTGGGGTTACCTCTAGTAGAGCTTGACGGTAACGATTGAGGGACTAACCGATATGGGCGTGGTTGTTGTAGCCGCTACAAAGTATTTGACGTATTGTGAACACCAGATCTATGGTGGATTTTCCAGGTCTTTCATACAATAAGGCCTGTATGCTGCTCTCTAGAAAAGCAAAAAGTCCATATAAAATGACGTCCAAGAAATGGCTAAGAAATTCTCTTGATTTAAATCTCCTTAAGGCAGCACGCAGCTCTTAAGGAATTTGCTACGCTTTTTACTACGGTTTTCTAAAGTTTTTTGTGAAAAAAATTGCATTAGGCAACCCAGGTTTGCAACAGAAACATATCCCCGTTCCACTATATCTTGAGAAAACAGTGAGGCAACAGGCTGTGAAGTATCAAAAATGTCAAAATTCCTTGGACACAGACGAAATTATGGCAATTTTTTCTTGACCGTTTTCGTGAGAGCTGCATACAGGGCAATACCTCCGACGGTTTAGAAAAATATTGCCATTATTTCGTAAGTGTGCATGGAACTTTGACATCTGAACTTCACCAGCCTGTTGCCTCACTCTTTCCGCAAGAAATAATGGAGCGGGCATATATTTCTGTTGCAAACATGGGTTGCCTTGTGGTAATTTTTCATAAAAAAAACTTTAGAAAAGCGTAGTACAAAGCGTAACAAATTCCTTAAGAACTGCGTACTGGCCTTTAAGGAAATTTGCCTCCATAAAATTTCTTAGCCATTTCTTGTACGTCATTTTATATAAGACCTTTATTAAACTGTCTTTTTTTCAAAATTCTTTTGTAATCAAATGATAGAAATGTCAACCGTAGTTGCAATGCATAGCATTTTTATGCTATGGATTTTCGGTATTGCAAATTTGTCCGGATCGCGAATAGCCCATAGAGTTTTGCTTTTCTTTAGAGCTGCATACAGGCCATTAATTGTGACCTAGAAATGGAAAACTATCGATACTATCGAAAATATTGACACTCTCGATAGTACTATCGATAGTTTTGATTAAAAAAGTCCAAAAATTAAACAAAACAAACTTTATTGAAAATGAGATTATAACTGCTAAAATATTTTTTGCTTGAGGAACAAAAGTTTATTAACGATTTTTAGCTTCGAGCTGCATCTGGCTCTGAATTTGTACCCTACTTTGCTAAATCGTCGCCTGAGTAAAAGATTGTCGTAAGCGTGATTTTGACGATTTTTAGTTCTAGATGCAGTTATATATTTTGAGATAAGGTCTTTCGATTGGTGTTATCAGTTTTTAGATATCCCCTTTAATTTCCGAGATATTGACCACCAACTTTTTCGATAATTTAGTAAAAATTTAGTTGGTGATGCAGTCACTTTAAACTAATCAATATCTTAAAAATGGCGTTCTCCATTTTTGGATATCTCCTTTAGTTTCCGAGATATTGAGTAAAAAGTGTCGTTAATTTGGTAGAAAAGTGGCTGCCAAATTGTGGCCAAATGATACTATCGATTGTTTTCCTGCTCTATTGTGAACTGATATTTTAAAATTGTCTTTTTCAATGTGCATTTGGTGGCTGTGCTCTAGGCTGTGAAATTTTTCTTTTCCATTGAAATTATGTACGGTTTATTATACTAATGCTATTAAGCTGATATATCGCGAGATAAATTCTATTAACTAGAGCATTTGTTTTAACTTTATCATACATAATAAAAGCATATTTACACGAACCATCATAGCTGAACCATGGGTGATCACAAATTGCTAGACACCACACAGGTTATCAATGGTATTGCTGTGTTGCTATCGTTTTTTGTGGGTTACAAATATGCCTTAAAGAAGCACGATATCAGCGATGAATCTAAGAACGGCAATGGCCAAAGTTCCAACAAGGGAAGAGGCGATGGGGCTTCCGTCTCTGAGAGTGTAAGAAATTTCCCAGAATAGGTGATCTACATATATTTTCTTTAATAATATGAATGAAACCTATTGAAATTCCAGTCGTTCGTTAGCTTTAGCAACAATTACAAGATGGTACTGGTAGTTCGGAACGATTTAAAAATGGGAAAGGGAAAAATCGGTGCGCAGTGTGGTCATGGCGCAGTTGGCGCATATCAGAAGGCCGTGCAGTGTACACCCCGACTCGTACGTGCTTGGGAAAACACCGGCTGTGCCAAAATTGCACTCCGCGTTGAAAGTGAACGTGAAATAATGGCTATTAAACGCGCTGCGGAAGCAAACAATCTCGTTACGTGTTTGATTCGTGATGCAGGTCGTACACAAATCGAACCAAATTCGAAAACAGTACTGGCTATTGGACCAGCGTCGGTCGAGGATATTGATAAAGTAACAGGACATTTAAAGTTACTGTAAAGCTATTTGCCTGCTATGAAATCTGTATTCAAAGGGTAATCCTCTCTGAAGCAATACGCTTATCATTTTAGATGTATGTACTAAAGATAATAAATTAGACTGCATACTACAATTTTTAAAAGTAAATAAAACATTCATTTTCATAAATACTTCATTAAAATAATTAGTAACATATTTATTAAATAAGATATTTAAACAGTATCGAAACTAACTTTAAATTAAAAGTGTAACCAGTCATCATCGTCATTATCATCGTGCTGATGATGTTGCTCCTGCTTCGACGTATCCACATTCATTGGAACCTCGTTATCTTGAGACACAGCTGAGCCGGCAATCATATTGGTATCCATGCCATCATTGGCCATTTCGCCACTATCATTAAAAACTTCACTCTTCATGGTTGCATTGCCGCCATCATCCTCTTCGTCACTTTCGGAAATGGCCAAGTCTTCGTCAATACCAACATTGTCATTGCCAGGCATAATAAGGGACATCTGCGGCATAGAAGGCATATCGCCTGACATTGGACCATCAGGTAATTGCTCATCATCTTTCGACTGGGATGCTTGTAAATCGTCAGTGTTGTTATTACTGGTAGCACGATTGCCGAAATTAAGGAAATCAGATGGATCATAATTTGGATCTAAGTCCATCGAGTCATCTAATAGGATGAAAAAGAAATCAATCAATGTTTGTCAGAAGCTTATGTTATCAAGGGTTCGAAAAATGTTTACTGCGGAGAGCCGCGCATGAAAAAAAAA